CTCCCGTTCACGGGGTGTGGTGGCTGCAATAGTTCCTTTCCACTCAGGGTCCCGCTTGCTGCGTCCTTTGTTCTTGTTGGCCGTTTTGGTTTGTTGTTTCCTCCCCTCTGCCGGTGGGAGAGTGCCGCCTCTGTGGGCGGGGGAGGGGAGCAGGGTTCTGCGCTTCCCTCCCTTCTAGTCCTCTTTTATGGCCACTTTCTTCTTCGGGCAGTTCGCTGGCGTCACCCGTTTATCTTCCGTGTCTCACTTCTCACTGGGACCTGCCGCTTTTCCTCCCTATTAACTTTTTTTAATGGGAGATCTTACTCGCAGCGTCTCCTCGCCGCCATGTTGCTCCGCCCCCCTGATATGAGCAACTTTAAAGCTTTGTACTCACATTGTCAAATAGCTTCCCCAAACAATTGCAAAAATTTATATCCCCATTAACAAAGCATAAGAGATGTCACTTTACTGCACGTTTACCATCTAGTATTATTATACTTTTGAAATATTTATTTTGCAAATAATCTTCTAGACTTTTGATTCAAAATGTCAATGGCCATTTAAAATATCTGGTCTTCCAACATGTATCACACAAACTAATAATCTGGTAAATAATTTAGAAAACTTCTGATTGCTCAATAGAAATTACATATTCTATAATCTATTGAATATAAAGTCTCTGGAAAACAAAAGTGTAATTTTGAACTCTGAAAAACAATAATCTCCAATGTGTGCTCTTAAGCAAAATGACAGTTAAATTAACAATGTCCCAATTAGATCCTCAAAAATCATTAAATGGACATTTTAAAGTAAAGATTGAATAATATTGTAAGTTCTACTTACTTTTTAGTCATTCTCCATAATTATATCTAAGGATGTCTCCATAGTTCATGCTTTGAGAATGCCAACTTACCTGATATTATGTCTTCCACTCTCCCTTACAACAGACTGTTTTGTTGGGTAATATTAAAGTGTTGTAAGTTCATTTTAGGAACTAGAAATTTTAGCAAAGACAAATGCACTTAAGTTGTGGAATGAACTTTAAAGAGAGGCTTGCTAAATGGGTGAATTGGTGGTGGGAACTTCATGGGGACTAAAACTGAGATGAGAAAGCATACATTGTACAAAAATGAAGAATGATGTAAAAATATATATAAAATAAAAAAGAAATAGTACCAAAGTATATATAGAAATAAAAGAAAAGTAAAAGAAAAAAAAACAAAACAAAATGAGGAGCTTGCTGTTGCTGGCACCCTAGAAGTTATACCAATATGTAAATTATTTCTTTGTGTTTTTGCTGCTTCTACTATTATAGTCCCCACACCAGAGTTGGGTGTAGAATTCTGGTTTTATTAGAGATGTTACTTAAGTGAAGACTTTATTTTGCATTTATTTACATGAATTAAATCCTGTGCCTTGCCTGGGATAGTGGGTAAGTTTTCTAGTTGTTTTTCACCATGAGGCAGCTGTTTATGAGACCCAGTGTTTTCAGGGTTCTTGCTGTCAACTCTTGGCCTCAGGTGTTTTGCCTTTGTGACAAAATGGAAATCTTAACTCTCAGTCTCTAGCACCTGCATCTACATCCAATGCACCTCTTGGTTATTCTGCTGTTCACTCATAATTAACTCTCCAGATTTGACTTTCTAGTTCATATCTGACACTTGAGGATTGCTATGTCTTTTGAACTTGACTCCCAATACACACACACACACACACCACGTGTATGTGCATGTCTTTTATATTTTAATATTTTATTCAATATTTCTACATAATTTGAGTCAATAGTGCTTGTATTGAGGGAGGAGATTAAGGAAGAAATGCATCTTAATATGATCTTTTAGAATAAATTAATAAACATGACAGTAATATTTGCTATATATTTCACATTGTATTGTTCTTCAGTAACAGTTTGGTTTTTAAAATATACTTTGTTTTCTTGGGTACTCTATAGTCTAGTGACATTGTGAATGGATCTCTTTTCTCTAGCAGTTTTTCTATATTTATATTTGAATCATTTATTTACAAATTGTGGGCAAATTCAAAGGTTGTATTGAATACCTGATTTAATGGTAAGGAGGCTAGTTGTATTTTGGGATAATATTGTGATGTTGAACAAGGATTATTTATAAATACATTAAAGGCACTAATTCTCCTACAGAAAATAAATATCAAGTGATAGTCATTAATTGTCAATTGTAATTTTCTGTCTTCTACTCCCATTTTTTTTTTCCTTAATGCAGACCTTGCCTCTCTTGCAAGCTTTGTGGTTACACCACTAGAAAGACTTGTTTTATAAATAAGATCTAGGAGTAATATTTCTTTCCAAGACTTTTGGAGCAATGCTATGGCAGAAACACCAGCTTACCGGTAAGCAGAAAATATAACTTTCACTATAAAAAGGTATGATTACACAGAGTAGCAATATCTCTGGTTTTCATCATTGAGGAAATCAATAGCAGTGCAGACTATAATTATCTGTTGGACTAGAGTGGATAAAGGAGAGCAGATGAAAGAGTTTATTGACTTAGTAGGAACTATTAAATAGCAAATCAGAATTGTAGAAATAAATAGCTTTTGAACTGGCTGAATTTAATCCAAATGCCCAAATGCTTCAAGAATTAACAAGAGACTGGGATAAAAAAATAAATAAAACAAACATCAAAACACCCCTCTTGCAGCCTCGCCCTCTCCCACACAATAATTTACTATTAATATTGGTAAACTAAAAAATAAGCAAAATTTTTATTACTGGTATAGGAAGTAAGAGATCCTCTGTCCTCTCAGTCTCAATTTGAATATTTCATGTTTGTATTTGAAAAACGTCATAGTTCAGGTGTCACTTTGTGTAATAATAAAAGGCCAGTGTTCCATCTCACAGCACTATGTTCTTTATTAAATAGATTACCTTTGGAATTTTTAAATATTCACAACAGAAGCAGTAGGTATAAGTCACCCAAAGGAGAAATATAATACTGAGAGAGGGAAGAAAGGAAAGAATAAGCCTTTGTATATATTGTTATTTTCAACCATACATTCAAGTGTTCAATGTCAAAAAGAATTATTCATGTATGGAAGATTTTAATTTTAATCTTTGACTCAAACTTACACCTATAGGAACAAATGCTGTTTCTTGTATCTTTGGACACATAGTTAGTAAACAGGTGTATTGTCATTCTTGCATTTTTGGTATAACCTTAATGAAATGCACAGTAGCTGTTCCTAAATCATTTTGTAAATAGAAGCTATGCTTTATCCACAGAAACAGTCAGTTCTCAAAGAATGGCATTGCCTAAAGATCAACTGGGTTTTTATTTGCCAGTAACATAACTATTTTTATGTATTTAAGTAAGGTTTCTTTTTTTTAAAGATTTATTTATTTATGCACACAAGAGCTGGGGTATAGGCCAGAGATCTAGGGGGTGAAAGAATTCACCAGAGACAGGGTGGGGAGCAGAACAGGCAGAGTGACTGAAATACACTGCTAAGGGGAGCAGTGGGCGAGCCAGGAGAGGTCTACTGTGCCATGTGGGTTGCCCACTGGTGGGCCAGGGGTCGAAGTTGTACTGCAGAGGCTGCAGATCGCTTCATAGTGTGGTGCTTAACTCCTTGCATCACCAGGGAGGCCCCAAGAAATCTGTAACTGACTGTGATCAATTAATTGAAAACACCGCTGCATTCAGACCAGCCTATGTGTATACAAGGTTTTTTTTTTTTTTTTTTTAAGATTTATTTATTTGTTATACAAGAACTGGGATATAGGCCAGATGTGTGGGAGGGTGAGAGGATTCACCAGAGACAGAGCAGGAAACAGAACAGGCAGACTGACTGAAATACACTGCTGAGGGTAGCAGCGGGCAAGACAGGAGAGGTCTGCCGCGCCATGTGGGATTCTCGCAGCTGGCTGGGATTGAACCCATGCTGCAGAGGCTGTGGACAGCTTCACAGTGCCATGCTCAACCCGCTGCGCCACCATGGAGGCCCCTAAGTAAGGTTTCTTTTTAAAGCTCCCCGTGTATCTAGATTCTGGAAGGTAAAGCAGAATTTCATAAATGTGGTGAAAATAAAATTTTAAAAATTTAAATAGCAAATATAAACACTTGTACACAAGAATATTTGCTTGTTTCTATTCCACAAACAATTTGCAATGTATTATAAACAATGTCAACATGTAGTCCCATTAGTTCAGACTCAAAGACAGTATGTTATTTGATCCATTTATCCATACAGATGTGATTTCATAATAATTTATAGTGCCTTAATTCATGGTCATTAAAGAGATGCTAAATATTGTACATCTTAAGTGTTTATCAAAAAAGAGGTTAAAGTTCACAAGTATGGAAACCAAAGTAGCATGTCATAAAGAAAATCTAAAGTGCAAACTTATGAAAAATGGGGAACATTTAGCTTCTAGCACTTATTCTATTACTTGGCCAATCTACACCTATTTAAAATTTTATGTTTTATAATATTATTTATACTAAATAAATACTATAATTTCTAACGTAAAGCCAGTATTTTCAAAGGGTGGTGAAGATGTCCCTAATAAACGCTTATTGTAAATGATAAATCTATCTGTAGAAACATTTCCTGTTCTGATAATGTTTAACTTTACATAAACATTGGCTCAGTAATGACCATGAATTAGGAATAACAGCTTTCTTTTTGAAAGTCATGTTGACTGTATGAGTTTAGAATGCCCTACTGTGCACTCCATTAGAACTATTCTGTGGTTCCCATTCTGGAAAGAAAAACGGTCCCTCCTTGTAAACATCTAAATCCCTCTCTGCTCATGGGACACCAATACTGTGTGTGTCATTTGTTAGCTGGACATGGTTATTATTATTCTCTTCCTAAGCGGTTAACTTTTTTCAATTTTGAGAGACACCTTGTATACTGTTATATCATTGCAATTTTTATTGCTCAAAGAATTCTTAATTTCTAGTAGTTCCTTCAAAGAAACCCAAATGGTTAGATTTTAGGTCTCCCCACTGCCTGTTGTTTTCTCAAAATGGACTTACTCTGCATGCAGAGGCCATCTGTGCAGTTCTTGGACTGCAGGACGAGGCCATCACAGTCTTTGCCTCCGTTCTTAGGAGCTGGGGCAGTGCACTCCCTCCTGCGCCAGTGTGTGCACTCAGTCCCACAGGTAGACCACTTGCTCCATGAGGTCCATCTGCCATCCACTGTCATGGGAAAAAACAAACAAACAAACAAACAGAAAAACAGCATCAGGTCAGAGAGAGTAGCAGCTGCCTGAGGACAGACAGGAATGGGGTTTGAAAATAAATAAAGCACAACAAAAAACTTCAGAAAAGACCTCGCTGAGGAGTTCTGCAGTCATTTCACATGGCTGGGAAGCATATTCTCTATGCATCATCAGATTCTGTGAATTTCCCTACTAGATATGTGCCTGCTTCCTGGCTGACCAAGATGAAGGATAACCAGCAAGTATATTAAAGTATAGAGAGGGAAGGAAGCATGATAAACTAGCATCATCAGATTCTGTGAATTTCCCTACTAGATATGTGCCTGCTTCCTGGCTGACCAAGATGAAGGATAACCAGCAAGTATATTAAAGTATAGAGAGGGAAGGAAGCATGATAAACTAGGGTGGTGGGCTATGGGTGACTGGGTAGTGGGTGCATTATGGTGGCATTGTCTGATTAGGATATACATAATTAAAATACATTTAAAAGATAAGTGAGGCAAATCCTAAACAAACAAACCATAAAGAAAACAAACAATACATACTTAAATAGTATGAATCTAATTTTAACAAAGTGAAATACGAATGGCGTTTGCCTTTTTTCTATTATGGCTTTCATACTGAAAATTAGGGGACCTCTTTTTGTATCCAAGATGCTTCGTGCACAAGATATTATGAGCAGTGCAAGCAAACCTCTGTGCAGGTTGAGAACAAAGTTGGCATAGTGGGGAGAAGTAAATCTGTCTGTCCACTTACCCATCTACCGATCACCTCTCTCTCTCTCTCTCTCTCTCTCTCTCTCTCTCTCTCTCTCTCATAGTATCTTATAGATCTTCCAGATCTCATAATAACTTACAGATGCATAGTGATAGAAACTATATATTAATTTAAAGGATTTTAAATCTATATGGTTTCATATTAAAATTATTGTGCAAGTAAACATGCCTACATGAAAATATGATGAGAACATTAATATTTCAACCACACAAAGTTGGTAATATAAGCAACTTCCAGCACTTTGGAAAAGAGACATTTTCTTTGACCTAACCTATTCCAAATCATGTGTGCATATGCACACATACATTTCAATTTCAAGTCAAAATGCTCAATGCATTTATAATTGTGGCCATCAATACCTAGATAAAATAAAGGAGAGTATAAGACAAAATACTAAAATGTTAAGTCTAGCTAAGTGTTAAAATGTGTTCCAAAAATAAATAGTTGTCAACAGATTCTGTGTCGACATTGTTTTGGTATTTATAAATCAACACTTGGGTATATAAAACCATGGGTTATATATTTCTCTCCAGTTCATTTTATCAACCCAGCTCTGATAAATATTCTATTAAATGATGAACAGGTAAAATCTGTGCAAAATAAAGGGAAGTGCAGAGACTGTATTTCTAAATAATGAAATTCATAATATAATGGCTAACCCAATTGAGTACACTAAATTTTTGGATTTCAAAATAATTTTAGCTTAACTTTTCAATAGCCATTTTGGTCTTGGAAAATACTGACATCAATTTACCAAAGGGCAGTAGTTGGTAAAAATATGAAATAAACACAGAAAGCTGCTCAGAGGCAGAGAGGCTATAATGCCATAGTCACCACAGAAAATAATTCACAGAATAGGTGACCAACAAGTTCAGATAATAAAGAGCTGAATACACAGTATTTTCAAAATCTTAGCCAATGTGTCACAAAGCTTTGCCTCCTGTTTAATTCATCTCAAATATTTATTTGCCCTCGCTCAGAAACTGACATGAAATATAAAATATCTCAGTCTAAAATATAATTTTAATTTCATTTCCAATTAAAATTTCCACAGCTTTCTGAAGGGCCGTATTCTTAAAATGTGTGGTTTTCAATACACCTCAAATCCCTTGAATTATAGAACCTATCGGCAGTTCTGTTGAGTAATGGAGAGGGATTATATTCATAAGTGTCTAATCTCCTGTTTAATACTATTTTGCATGTTCAGTAACAAAATCAAGTAACTCTTTTGAGGAAAAATACTTGATTTTGGAGGAATGAAAACATTAAATTGTATGATAGATTTAAATGTTTAGCACACATTCAGGTCAAGAATAAGGCTTTGTACATAGCCCCTAAAACATATTTCTAGGATGGGAAGGAGCATTGGGGATTAGAACCGTGGTTTATTTACCAGGGCACAGCGTGGTACAGCCTATTTTCTGCACACTCTGCCCTTCACAGAAGGCCCCTCCATTGAGTGGTGCTGGGTTGGTGCAGGTCCTTGTGCGTTTCTGATACCCTCGTCCACAGCGGCTATTGCACACAGACCACTCTGTCCAGGTGGACCAGCCTCCGTTTACTGGAAGAAGATAAGTAATGAAATGTGGGTTAAACGCGTGCGTGCACACACTGGCACACAAACAAAACCTAGCACTTAACAAAATCTACTCTCCCAAATGACCATTAAAAATATATATAAAATTTCAAAACTAGGAGAGATCATGGACATAATCTCATTCAATGTTTTATTGCAGAGCTGTAGAATCGCAGTTCAAAGATAAATAAAACAATTTACCAAAATTTACTCACCTACTCAGAAAAGTAAATATGATTGTGTTTTCCCATTGGTTAGTACTCTTAAAAAAACACATCCTCTTACCTAGTAAACCTCCAAAAATTACGTTTGACAGCTTGTCCCAAGTAATAAATGTTTACATCCATCCTTATGCCAAGAATGCAAATGGGTCTCAAGTGTGGAACTAAATAAAATCTTTTTGTCTTTTCTTGATAACAAGTGATGATTTTTCTTTAGCATATATAAACTTTACAACTTTTTAAATAATTTTCAGTTGTTTTCATTAACTAACCAGTGAATTTGGTTATCAAAGTCTTATCTTTCTGGGTTTTAAGCTAATTGAGTAGTTATTTGGATTGCTAATTAGTGGATGTAATTGAAATGGGCACCCATCTTGTATATAAAGCTAATTATGTATGGTGTTTGATGGAGCTGTCAATAGAGATGTGATTATAAATTCTACTCCCAAAAACTATTTCCTCTTTTCACTGCTGAAGATATCGCTCTAGAAAATACTCTGATATTTCATACTTTAATAAAGTCTGTGAAATTATTAATTAGTTTCTAATAAAATTATTTGACAGTTAAAAAGTTAGTTTAAATATAGCACAACCAGTTTATGTGTCACTCATTCAGACACACAAGCCTTATACATGCACATCATTTGTGCAAATTTCCTCTTCTAAGAAAACTATGTAACAAATGTTTTATACATACAGACACAGGAAAGAATTTTTCGCCAGCAGACTTTTTTATGTAAACATTTGAAAAAACTGTAATTTTGACATAGGAATAGGGTAAGCCTTATGTGTTTGTGTGATTGACTTTTAGTCAGTCATTAAAAGTGATATCATAGACATCTATTTAATAATACATGAATATGTCAACATTATGTTTTAAGTAAAAAAATGTATAGCCTTTATTTTAAAATCTTAGGTATGCATAGAAAGTACCAGTAGTATACACAAAAATCTTTTTAAAAGCTATCTCTGGATGACAGTATGACAGAATTATAGGTATTTTCTTCTTTGTCCTTTTCTGCATTTCCTAAATTTCCTATGATGCATACATACTTGCAATATAAAAGTGATATTAACAAAAATAAATGTATACAACATACTCAAACAAAAAACTGGTTAGATGTATGAGCTGGGTGAACTTATTTTATGAGACCATTGAAAGGACAAGCAAATGGCGTATGGGTAGAATTGCACGTAGAACTCTGTAAACAGCAAAAAAAAAAAAAAAAAAAAAAAAAGCACTTAACCTACTCAATTTTACAAAACTCCAAAAGTCATGGACGTGTCAGCCTAAATTGCTTATTAGCACACTGGCAAGTTGATACTAGGTTTATAGTATACATGTACTACTCTGTTGGGATTTGAATGAGAAATGAATAATTATAAACTTTCCAAGACAGAAAAGCCTTTGAAGATCCTCAGCTTATTTCCTCATTTCATGAAGAATATAAGGATTCCTCCTATTATGGCTAAGTGACCAAGTTCATTTAGCAGTAGACCCAATCTTAGAACACAGAACCGCTAAGCTATTCCTGTTTTTTGAACTCCAAATGCTTAAATTACTCATTTTTGATCCTTTCTACAGTGTTCCACAAGTATTTATGGATGTTGAAAGAATAGTATACATAGGAAAAGAGATTTGCATGTATATTGAATGTCTATACAATGCATCTATATAGAGTGTGCCTTCACTAGTTATTTATGGTAGTACATGCTATGATTATGCCCCATTTCTCCTTTGAATTGCCAAAGCTGTTAATCAAGTCATTCAGACAGTTTATAAAATATAAGTAAGAAACATTTTATTGTGACCTAAAGGCAGTGCTTACAATTCAACATAGCCATTATCTTGACTAGGAAATTAAACCTCAGTGTATTCAGACAATTTTAAAAAAAGTAGCATGCATCTGTTCTATCAAGAAAATGACAGTTTTAATGCATCAATATATTAAGCCTTTGTAACATCACAGTGGTTTCTGTTGTCATAACTCCCTGCAACGTGAGGATACAACTGTCCAAATGGTAGATAGTACTATGCACTGGACATCTGTCCATGGCTGTCCCTCCTTCACAGTCACCCTAACACTCAGGGCTCTGGAGTGTCATTAACACTGAAGCAGCCGTGGGAAACTTCTTTAAACTCTGAATGGTGGTCTTATCATTCAGGAGGTAGTATTACCTCAAAATACTTTCCAGGGTTGTTCAGTTTCCTTTGAGACAATAAATCAAAAATAAATTAAGAATATCTGGTGTACCCAGCAGAATACTGTTGAACACTTTGAGAATTATATATATCCAGTCAGTCCATCTACAATAGAGCTGAAAGCTTAGCTGTGGAGATGAACTATTAGTGAAATGACTAGAAAACTAGTCATTTTGCAGGAAGGGAAAGTCATCATGTGCTAGAGCAAAATAGGGTGGAAAATTGTTGAGTAGTTTTAGAGAAATAATAGCTGAGAGAGGAGATGGGTTAGAAAGAGCCAGAGGTGGGAGGAAATGTTTTGTAGACGTCACAATGCTGAGCCTTGGCACAAGGTTAGGATTAGAGCCACTTGGGATGAGAAGGTGCTTTCACTTTGAGTGCCCCTGATGGAGTATGTAAAGCAAGTCCAGGCGTTAAAGTTTCCTGATGTATTTGAGTAACAGGGCAGTTCCAGTTTTCTTAAGTCTCTGTAGTCATTGAACTGAGTCAAAACCCAAAGAAATAGCAACAGGCTGATTTAAATACCTTCATTTACCAATGATCTCTTGGCTTTAGGTCTAGATGCTGAGGGGTGATGCGAGGGGAGGACTTGGAAAGCAGGGATATCTGATGTGCATAGCAGTAGATTTCCTTCACTTTCATATAAGCTCACTGATAAAAGTCTAGGAACTGCCAAAGCTAGTCTTTTTTGTATCAGGAAAACAGCTAAATCTCACTAGACACATGAGAAGCTGGAGGAGAACAAACAGGGGTTTTGAAAAGACTTTTTAAAATGAAAGTGAGAAACTACAGTTGACATGAACTAACTTCAGATGCCAAAGCTCACTCACCATAGACTATAACAGTTGCAGTTGTGCTTTTCCTCTTGGCAACAATGTTTTTGGCCACACAAGTGTAGTTTGCTGTGTCAGAGAGGCGGGCCTGTTTTATGATGAGGTTGTGATCAATGGTAATATAGAAATTCCGATCTTCAACAGGATCAATTATGTCTTCATTTTTCAACCATTCCACCTAAGATGCACAAGAGAAATAGATAAATCCCCAGTATGGCTCCCTTGCTAGCCAGTTGTTCTAACTTGTGTTTTGTAACAGGGATAACATTTTCCTATGAACTTCTGTAAACAGGGAGGAAAGAACTTTCTGAGGTCAGGTTAAGTATCACTCACCTGCCAAACATACTGATTCTGTCTGTACTATATTATTCTCAAATGTCAATGAACCAATTGGGAAATACAGTGTTCAAATTGTTTTTACTTTGCCCTGCAGGCAGGAGCAGGGAATGTGCACTGCCAAGTTCAGAACCCAATCAAAAATAATAGGTTAAGCATTTCAAACTGAATTCAAACCTTTTGCTATTTGATTTGTTTACTCTTGGCAACTTACCTGATGCTTTACAATAAAGAATACAGGACTATTTAAAAAGCTCAAATGGCATCTTAGCGATCATATAGCTTTAATAAAACATTTGGATGACTGATGTAGCCTTGCTTAAACATATGGATTAAATTTCCCTGAAATGTGCTTACTTTAAAATGTAGCAAACACATATTGGTGATATAGCTAAACTAAAATACATGGAAAAATGAGAGGTTTTCTAACAACTCTCAATACAATAGAAATAATATATAAATCATGCTCAAATCACTCCTTTTGTATATCACTAGCATCAAATTTTTGGTTCTTGATTTGCTTCTAGGAAATTTAACCTAAGAAATAGCCATTCAAAATTATTCAACTGTTTTTTTCCAATGCAAATAATATCAATTTAGCAGTGGTGATTTTTTTGGTACAGATCAAAAGGAGGGAAATATATCAGTCCTTACAAAGAAATAGCTACTTCTTGTTCTGAAAATTGTTCTTTCTTTTCTCGCAAAACAGTTTTGTTTCCATAAAACAAAAACAATTTTGATATTCATTACCCTTTAATTTTCCCTCTGCATTATTGTGGATATGCATACAAGTAACCAAGTAACCTTTAGTGATGGGAAGCCAATAGTTTCCTTAATTTCAAAATCGTAAGAGTTTCTCCAGCACAAGAGGCCTGGAAATTAATCTCTAAATCTGCCAGCAGCCTTGATGTTGTATAGCACTAAATTATATCTAACACAGGGACTCTAAAATAATGTTTTTCTAATCCTTAGAGGAAACTACACAATTTAAAGGGAAAAGCAACACCTACCAACAGTCCTAAAATAAAGGTGTGAGGATGTAGAAAAGAGCAACTATTTAGTAGGAGGTAAAATTTTGAAATAGTCAAATGCTTTTGGTATTTACACTAAAGGTAGTGAGGAAGAGAACAGAATCCATTTCAAATTGTGGAGTTTTAAAATATCTATTTTGTTTTCAAATATAGACTACATATTTAGTCAGGGCTAGCTTGGATATATTTGATCAGATACTAGTACTCAGTTGATCTAAATTTTCTCAAAATTTGCTCCTATGAGTGTGGTAAATATGATCTTGTTCAAAGTACCTGGGGGGAGGTAGAAAAATTTATATTATTAGAAATCTACTCCATGAAAATTGAAAGCTGACATTAATAACTTCTGAATCTAATATTGGCCTATACTATCTATACCCTTCTAAAGAAAGCTGTCCTTTTAAGAAGGCAGTCCTGGGTTCCATTAAAGTGATCTTGAAGTCCTCCTACTTTTTTTCTTGAGCTCATTATGTTTTTTTTTTTTTCCCCAAGGACCCACAAATTCTACTCCTTTGAAAGAGTAGTATTTTCATTTTTCCAAAAATAATTTACATAAATTTTAATATAAATATTATTAACATATATTTATATATAGTGTCTCTCATTAGTGTGGGCCAGTGAGTATGACCTGAGCATCCAGGATCCCAAAGAACTGGGTGGACTCTGGGCCTATGAGGGGCACTATACTCCTCCCTTATCTCCAGTTTTAACCACAGAAGCTTGGTTTTAATCTGATTCCCACACTGGGTTCATCTGTACACCTTTGAAGAACCAAATGGTGCTGAGGCTAGGAAATCACTATAGGATCCTTATGCTCTTAACTTCTGGCAAGATACCCCATACCCAGTTTCTTGTGCCCCAGTACTCCCAGTACAACAGCATCCTGTCTGAGACCTTTATCTTCGCAGAAGCTCAGGTCCAACTGAAAGTCACAGCTTAGCTCTTGCAGTAGAACCCTCATTATGGCCCGTGCATTCCCTTTTCCTCCAAAGTCTGTAAACCCCTCTACGCTGCCTTAGAATACATCTTCTAAATCTTCCAAAATTTTGACCTGTTTTTATATTGTTTACTTAACTTTTCTCTACTAAATCATGGCTTTAAAAACTATTTTCACTATTCTAGATCATCTTCTCCAAACATCTTTCTTATGAATATAAAGTCATCAAGTTATACCATTTTCTGTAGTTATCTCAGAGCTCTAAGACTCACAGTTACTCTATCCAACACGATTTCTGATGATTTTAATAAGTGCAAAGATGACACTTTCAAAATTTCAGCTCCTCAGTTCCATGACCATACTTCCTGCCATGATCTGGGTATATAACTCACTCACACTTATCTTTGATATTCTAGGCCAGAGGTGTTTAATCTTGTTTTCACTGTAGAATAATGTGAGAACATCTATAATATATATATATATATATATATATATATATATATATATATATATATATTCTAAACTCAACCCAAATAAACTAAATATAACACAGAGACACTCTGATTCACTGAGCAAGACTGGTTTAAGATCAGTAAATCTTAAACTTCCCAAGGGGCTGTGATTCCACTTTTAACAATTGTCTTTAAATGAGATTTCTGGAACAATAGTATCTATGTCACCTTGATAGAAATACATATGCTCAGGCTTTGTTCACCTAGACTTTCCAAATGAAAATATATGTCATAACATGTAGTTCAAGGGACTTATAGGATCATTTGTTTAGGATTCCTGGACCCAATTCCAAAGTGAGTACGTAGGGCTTCTTCACACCAATATGCAATTCTCAAATACCAGCAGGGTATCCAAATATTCAATTATGACACTATCTACTCAGAGATAGCATCAAATTCCACAATTTAAAAACTCACACTGACCTTCACTTTTGAAGCCATTTGCAAGTCCAACCTGTTTCCTGTGTTTCTGACTAATTATCTATATATCAATGGTTCTTATAATGCCCCTTTTCAGGTTTGATTTATTTGAGTGGCTCACAGAACTTGGGAAGTCTGTTTACTCAGCAGTACATTGGTTTTTTACTAAGGTTATATTTAGGAAGTGCCACATAGAAGAGATATATAGAGAAATGTATGGTGTAAAGGTTCAGAGTTGGGAGAGGGGAAGATGACATCAGAGGAAGTTCCCTGTTTCATTTCTGGGGAAAAAAAAAAAAGTAATCCAGATGGACACTGAACTGCTGGCATTTGTGAAATAAGGTGAAGACAGGAGAGTACCTCCTGGACATTGGAGACCAATTCTGACCATGCATGACTTAGGAAATTCAACTCTAAAAAACAAAATGTGAGTGGTGTGGCAGAGGAGCTTGGAGAAAACATCCAGAGCAGAAACTATGTTTCAAAACCACACTCCCATGATAAGGTTTGGAGGGTAGAGCTGCTTAATGTGAACCAAACTGTGGGGTGATACATCAAAAGTGTTAGGGTGAGGTAGGTGGACAGGACTCCCAGTGAAGAATATGAAGTTCAGAATGCTATGACTCTCTCACCACCCCCACCTCCCTGCCCTGCTCAGGACAAGAACTAATAGAGCAAAGCTGCACTTGCAAACATCAAAGTGAAATGAAAACTCCGCCTATAGACTGCAGGTTTCAGATCCAGAGAGGAGAGCTATCATTGGTACCACAAGCATGAGCTGCCTCCCCATGCACTAGTGATGGATCCCTCCCCAACCCGTTCCCACCTTCAGAAAAAGAAGCTATAGATTAGTTCTCCCTGACATATCATATAATGGCAAAGTGGAAGTTCTTTGCCCATAAGACAGCCTAATATATAATGACATAAAAAGTCATAATGGGGAGATGGAGCTATATAACAAATGACATCCTGAGTCCTTAAGAAATACTTTATCACATAGAGAGAACAAATATCTAGAAGTCCACCACAAAGACATGGAAGATTTTTTTGTTCTTACTAGATAGAGTTCAAAATTGGCATCATAAAGAAATTTAAAGAAATGGAATAAAACACAGAAAAGTTGATTAAGAAATGTAAGAAACTCATAAAGAAAATTAATGAAAGGAGATAGAAACTGAGGCTCTAAATAAGAAAATAATGGAGATACAAGATGTAAAAAAAGATCAACAGAACTAAAAAACTCTGGAGAAAGCTGTGGAACCATAATAGTTAAAATGGAGGACAATTAGTGACTCCAAAGATGGCAATGTGCAAGGAATTGGAGTGGAAAAAAAAAAAAAAAAAAAAGATATGTGAAGGGGAAAAAAAAATGACGAGACACTAAGAATTACCCAACTCCATGATAAAAGGCAATGTTATAATACTAATGGTTATCCAAGAATGGGAAAGAAAAGAGAAGGGAATGGAGAACTTATGTAAAGAAATAATAGCAAAAACTCCCCAAACTTATACAAGAAAATAAATATACAAGTACACAAAGCTAAAAGAGCATCTGGATACCTAAATATAATGAGACTACACCAAGACACATAGTAGTGAAACTTCCAAGAGTTCAACACAAATTAAAATTATTGAGAGAGCTAGGAAAGAAAAGCAGTTAACCTATCATGCTTATATCTAACTTCTCTGAGAAAACACTAGGGCAAGGAGACAATAAAATGATGTGATCAAAATATTAAAATATTAAAAAATTGAATTAAAATTCCCATTCAAGAATACCTTATCCTGCAAGGGTCTCCTCTGATATGATGGAAAAATGAATGCTAATATCTAAGACAACAAAAATTAAAGGAGTTTGCAAACACTAGACCTCCAAGAAATATTGAAAGGAATCATCATATCTAAATAACAGAGAAGAACATGCACAGAAAAAAAATGAACA